TCATTTCTCACAAAGGTATAAAACCACATCCCTTTACCTTATTATTTTATTTTCAAATCCTAGTCCCAATTCAAAGTTTTCAATCCTCAATCATCCCTTCATTTACATGCCAAAGTGAAAAAATCCAATTTACTTTTTTTAAAAAAAATTTCGTCACGGCTAGATTGGAACGGATAAAACTAGATTGTAGTTAGAGCAGAGATGGTCAGGATGGCGGGTACTACAATGTGAAGTCTAGAGTTTATTTTCACCATTTGCCCGAGTTAATATTTATAAAAATAAAATAAAATTGATCCAGTGTTGATCTGGATGTGTCTAGCTTAGGATTGGATTAGGCCATGATCTAAGTGAGTCCATCTAGCCGCAATTCACAGAAATACTTTCATTAGCATGGTTTTAAAACTCAGTTGAGTCGACCCGGACTTGACACCTTGCACAGATGAGTTCCTATGTACAAACTCGGTTCCATAAAAATCATAAAACAACGATAACTATTATTATTTATTAATCAATGTATGAAATTTTATAGATAATTTTAATGGTTTGGTGATGGTTGTGAGATTTTATCATATGCTGCATTTTTTTTCTCTTTTTTGAATTTTTTGAATGATGTTCAGCTATAAATCTATTTATTCCAAATTCCATATTTTTTAGTATTTTTCTCTCTTTTGGACTTCTAATACTTAGGATGAATGTGTGATACATTAGGGGATGCAAATGTAGAATTGCATCCCCTAATGCATAAATCGCTTTTCCTTTGTTAATATGGTAAAAAAAAAAAAAAAAATCTATTTGGTGAGACTTCTTCTTCCCTTTTTTTTTTGTTTTCCTCTCTTTTGAGGGTTAACAAGAATCTATATTTGATGAGGTGTCTTCTTATACTTATGAATTCCAATGGGCTCCAAAATGATATATTAAAAGTTATTTTTTTCTCTTCCAATATCAATACGATGATGGTTTCACTTTAGAAATTGCTCTTGTTTTCTTAAGTACCCGGTTTCTATGCAACCAGCCTGCATATTGTAGAAATCCGAGCTTGACAATAAATGTATTTTTTAAATATAATTTGACCCTAAAAATAATATATAATCTTTGACATGGAGATTATGAATATGACAAAAAGAAAAAATTAAAAACTAAAAATAATATTATATTAAAAAAACATTTGGACCCTTTGTTAAACTTGTTTTTCAGATGGACCACTTATTTACAACCATTTTTAAGATGGATGTTTTATACCTCGGGACCATGTATTGTAAAAATGCACTCCAGCTCGCATGAAACAATTCCTTTTCTGAAATATACAGTTATTCTTAAATAAACGTAAGTAGCCATCAATACGTCCAATATATGAAAGCTCCATTGAAAACCAAATGGGGAATATTAAATGTGTTTCTTGTATATCACATCTTTCATTACCAACTAAGCTGGTTGACTTATTCACATTAACCTAACCAAGCTTTAAGTCTGCCATTTTTGAAGGGTGTTTGATCTGTCTCGGGTTCACTAGCCGGTTCAACGTGCCATCGCAGTTCAAGTCCCGGTTAACCTTTTAATAATGCATCTACGAGTCCAAAGACCTTTACTTTTTCACAATTTATTAATAATCTAGGAGAGATAAATGGAGTCATACATCTACAAGAGATCCACCAGTAGTGAATAAAGAAGTAAGAGTCATTCCTCTTCTCACCAAAGAGTCAGCCTCATAATTTACTTCTATGTACACATGACTTCAGCTTCTGTAGAATTCTATGTTCTCTCCTACACCATTTGATAATGAGAGAATTACTTTCAACAACAATATGATTAGCAATTCCTTTCTTGCAACAAAGCATGATAGCTTGCCAAAGAGAACGTAATTCGGCTTGATTAGCAGCCGTGGACCACAGGGCCTGCATTACTAAACATAACAACACCCTTTGAGTTTCTAAGAAGACCACCAACACTTGTTGAACTTAGGTGCCTTGCGAACTGCTATCAAAGTTAATTTTGAAGAATCCCTTAGAGGGTGTTACCCATCTTCATACTGGTCAAATCTTGTGAAAATGCTAGTTAATGAAGTTAGAAAAGTTAACACTAAATTCAACATACAAAACCCTTCTACCCTGTAGGGTTCTCGTGAACCCCTAGGTTGCAGAATCGGGAATCCCAAATGCTGGGATCCCACCCAAGATCGTGTACATGATTGGCTAAATGCGAAGTAGATAAATACAATAAATCGAGTGCGAGAAATAAAGCAAACGCAAAAAACACACCATAACAACACAAGATTTACGTGGTTCACCCCATAGGGCTACATCCACGGCATTGGCAACTACAAATCCACTATCACAATGAAGATTACAGTTTTGGGTTACAAGTGATAATATCTATCTCTAAACATCGGTAAAAAACCATCACCGATATTCCCTTCTAAACCCGCTCTCCAGACAGAGCAACACCATTGATCAACATCCTCTTTCCCACCGCAATACTGCCATCAGAAAGATAACTTTGAGAGCAACATAGAGATTTTATCTCTCTAGAAGTGGAAGTTAACCATCTCAAAACTTATGGGAATACTGCCTCTCTCTCGGAGGCCATGTCTCTCTCTCTCTCTTGGAGACCCATCACCATATTGGAGATCCATTCCCATAACCCCCAAAGGGATGACCCTCAAAGAATAGGTATTATGTCCTCCTTCACTCTCTTATAAAGATATCACTTTCTTGCTTTCTAATAAATTCAATTTTCTATTTCCATAATACCCTAATCTTTAAAGGAAAATATGGGTATGGTGATTTAGCTATCACCAAATCCAACAATCTTCACATTGATTGCAAAAGCACCATAATTGCCTTAACAACCTACATTGAATAGATTTCTTGATTTCTTCATACTTGCATCCATTATAGAATTTTCACAAACATTTCGCCTTCATATTTCTCCACCTCAAACCATAGATATTTCTTGATTTCTTCTCACTTGCCTATATTGTGGAATTTTCACAAACACTTTGCCTTTATATTTCTCCACCTCAAACCATGTATCCATAAAACTTTGTCATTCCTCTTTTTCAAACCTTAGCCCCATGCACACCTTGTGCTCTGATACCAATTGTAGGGTTCTCGAGAACCTCATAGCTTGCGGAATCGGGAATTCCAAACACTAGGTTCCCACCCAAGATTTTGTACATGATTGGCTAAATGTGAAGTAGATGAATGCAACTATAAATTGAGTACGAGAAATAAAGCAAACACAAAAAATACACCACAACAACACAAGATTTACGTGGTTCACCCCATAGTGCTACATCCACGGCCTTGGCAACTAGAAATCCATTATCACAATGAATATTACAGTTTTGAGTTACAAGAGATAATACCTATCTCTACACATCAGTAAAAGACCATCGCCGATCTTCCCTTCTAAACCCGCTTTCCAGACCGAGCAACATCGTCGATCAACATCATCTTTCCCACCGTAATGGGGCCACTGGAAAGATAACTTCGAGAGCAACATAGAGATCTTATCTCTTTAGAAGTGGAAGTTAACCATCCCAAAATTCATGGGAATACCACCTCTCTCTCAAAGGCCATGTCTCTCTTTTGGATACCCATCTCTATATTGGAGATCCATTCCCATAACCCCCAAAGGGGTGACTCTCAAAGAATGGGTATTATGTCTTTTAGCAAAATAGCTGTCAAAGAATTTGCTTCCCTATAAACATGATGACAGGCGATAGATAACGGTTCTCCACTAAATCAATAATCTGAAGCCAACATGACCTTAACTCCCATGAAACCCGACGTTTCCTATTGCACCACTGAATACTTCAAAGGTATAAAATGGCATCTTTATATGAACTTTTTCTGAAGGGTGATAATATCATATTTCAAAGGGCTCACCTATTTGGTGGTTGCTCGAGACCACTTCTAACACATGGTTTGGTACCCAAAACACGTGGGATCTCTTTGTCTGAAGATTTTCATAAAATCATTTCAATAATTCTCCAAAAAAAAAGAAAAGACAAAATTGTTTTGAGCTATTAAATGGAAAAGCTTTCTATACTTCCCCTATAGCATAGAAGTTCTATCCTCCCCCTTATCCAACCCTCCATTCTGAATGGAGGGCTAAGATTGTCCCAATTACAATATCACGTCTCTAAACTATTTTATTTTTAATTTTTTTTATTTACTATTTTGATACCAAATTTTAGACGTCTATTCCTTTATTAAACTCGCACTAGAAAAAAAATATAAAAATAATATTTTCAATAAATAAAATGGCCAAAATACCCCTAAAAGATTCAAGGAGTATTTTGGTCATTTTATTTTATCGAAAAATTATTTTTAATATTTTTAATAGGTGCGCCCCAATGAGAACGTGGCATGTATCAAATTTTATATTCATAAAATTTAAATAAAAAATATTAAAAATAAAATATTTTGAGACATTGGATCTAAGATCAAACGGTGAGTGGCTCTGTTGATTAAAATTGGACGGCTGGATGGTAGGGGGAGGATAGAACTTCTATGATGTAGGGGACGCGTAGAAACCTTTTCCCAATTAAATACCTAAACCAGATAT